CTTGTGGCATTGTCGTCTTGGACACATTAACAAGAAACGCATAGCCCAACTCCAAAAGGATGGAGTGTTGGAATCATTTGACCTAAAATCAGATGATATGTGTGAATCTTGTCTTTTGGGAAAGATGACAAAATCACCATTCACAGGGTCTTGTGAAAGTGGTGAAGGTCTGTTGGATCTCATACACACAGATGTGTGTGGGCCCTTCAGATCAACTACAAGAGATGCTAATCGATTTTATGTGACTTTCACTGACGATTACAGCAGATATGTTTATATCTACTTGATCAAGCATAAGTCAGAAACCTTTGAAAAGTTCAAAGAGTTTAAGCATGAGGTCGAAAATCAATTGGGCAGGAAGATAAAGATACTTAGATCCGATAGAGGTGGGGAGTATCTTAGTATCGAGTTTAACGACTATCTGAAAGAATGTGGGATAGTCTCATAATTGACTCCTCCTAGGACACCACAATTAAATGGTGTAGCTGAGAGGCGTAATAGGACCTTGTTAGACATGGTTCGTTCTATGATGAGTCGTGCTTCGCTTCCTATTCACTTCTGGGGGTATGCCTTAGAGACAGCCGCCCGCATCCTCAATCTTGTCCCTACAAAGAAGGTTGCCAAAACACCTCACGAAATGTGGACAGGGAAAGTTCCCTCGTTGGCACATATTAAAGTCCCGGGGTTGTGAAGCTTTCGTAAGACGAGAGACTCACGACAAGCTAGCAGCTAGAAGTGAGAAATGTGTTTTCATTGGTTACCCAAAGCAGTCTTTTGGATATTTGTTCTACAGGCCTAGTGAAAACGTGGTCTTTGTAGCACGAAGAGGAGTCTTTCTAGAAAGGGAGCTCATATTCAAAGAGGACAGTGGGAGCACCATTGAACTTGAAGAAATTCAAGAGTTAGCCAATGAAGGAACCTTAGATGACACTAGCACTCAACCAGAGGAAACAGTTCCTGTTGAACCAGTTGATAATTCATTACCTCTTCGAAGGTCCACTAGGGTGAGTGTGCCACCTGAGTTGTATGGTTTTCATATTACTTCAGATGGTGACACATTCATAAGTGACAGAACACTGGTAAACTTAGATGAACCAGTCACTTATAAGGAAGCAATGGCAGGCCCAGAGGCTTCCAAGTGGAAAGAGGCAATGGACAGCGAGATTAAGTCCATGTATGACAACCAAGTTTGGAATTTGGTTGATAGTGCACCAGGTCGTAAGACAGTTGGGTGCAAATGGATCTTCAAGAAGAAGACAGACATGGATGGAATGTGCATACATTCAAGGCTCGACTGGTTGCAAAAGGTTTCACTCAAACCCCAGGGGTTGACTATGATGAGACCTTTTCGCCAGTAGCTAAGATTAAATCTATTAGGATATTGCTCGCCATAGCTGCCTTTCATGACTATGAAATCTGGCAGATGGATGTCAAGACTGCTTTCCTTAACGGGAAGTTGGCTGAGGATGTTTACATGAATCAGCCAGAGGGTTTTGTTGATGCAAAGTTTCCCAATAGAGTGTGCAAGCTTGAGAAATCCATTTATGGATTGAAACAAGCATCTCGCAGCTGGAATCTTTGCTTCCATGAGAAAGTCAAAGAGTTTGGTTTCTCTAGAAGTGAAGATGAGTTTTGTGTGTATATCAAGGCTAGTGGGAGTATAGTAACTTTTCTGGTGTTATATGTCGATGACATATTACTCATTGGTAACGACGTTCCAACCTTGAAAGATGTTAAGTCTTGGCTTGGAAAGTGTTTTGCCATGAAAGACCTTGGAGAAGCTGCCTATATTCTTGGGATTAGAATATTGAGAGATAGAAAGAAGAGACTAATTGGACTTAGTCAGAGCACATACTTGGATAAGGTACTAAAGAGGTTTAGTATGGAAAATTCCAAGAAGGGAGAGCTACCTATCCAGAGCAATACCAAATTGAGTAAGACTCAATGCCCGAGTACAGATGTTGAAATAGATGACATGAGTCGTGTACCTTATGCTTCCGCTGTCGGATCGATCATGTACGCTATGACATGTACTCGCCCTGATGTGGCATTTGCTTTGAGCATGGTCAGTCGCTATCAGGGAAACCCGGTAGAGCTCATTGGATAGCAGTAAAGAATATACTCAAGTATTTGCGAAGGACAAAGGACTGGGTCCTTGTACTTGGTGGCAATGATACTTTGAGAGTAGATGGTTACAGTGATGCCAGCTTTCAGACGGATAGAGATAACTTCCGTTCTCAATCGGGCTGGGTATTTTTACTGAATGGAGGAGCAGTTACTTGGAAAAGTTCCAAGCAAGATACGGTGGCTGATTCTACTTGTGAATCAGAGTACATAGCAGCGAGTGAAGCGTCGAAAGAAGCAGCTTGGTTGAGGAACTTCATCGGAGATCTCGGAGTTGTTCCAACCATCCAGGAGCCTATGGAACTGTTCTGCGATAATGAAGGAGCGGTTGCCTTGACAAAGGAACCGAGAGATCATGGTAAAACCAGACATATCGACAGAAAGTACCATTTCATCAGACATAGAGTAGAAGAAGGCCATCTTGTAGTAAAGAGGGTGTCATCTGAAGATAACCCAGCAGATCCCCTCACAAAGGGTCTGAGTAGGGCTAAGCATATTCAGCATGCTCGGAGAATAGGACTAAAAGATGATATTAGTTTTAGTAGTTAGATCAGTTTTGTTCTGAAACTTGTAACAAAATAAATGTAATTGACTTTTGGTGATTAAATAATAAAGTATTGTTTATTAGTTTGATTACTGCCTTTTGTCAATTGTTTATTATTGTGTTTCATATTTTGCATGTTTTACTTCCTGAATAATAAGATTATTCAAACTCCACAGTCGCTCATACTTTTGGAAGTAAGTAGTGAATTAAGACTGTCATGAACTGGATTGTAGATTGTCTAAGGATAGACATGGCAATAGAATTGCTGCAACGTTCATGAGTACTCAGAAATTGAGATTTGAGTATTGGATAAACCCTCGCTCAGAGTATCACTTCATGGAATTCATCACGAGTAATACTGAGACGATAATATCTTATAATCTTGAAACGAAGATATATGAGTTGCAATTTACAAGTCGGTCATGCATTGGTGATACGAAAACGCATCAGTAACTTGGTGTTATAAAACGCATTGTCATGTATAATTTGATGAGTAAAAGATACAAGCATATGAGTCAACGTTTATTCGTTCCTTTTGCCCTAACAGGAAAAGCGATATTTGTGGGCCCCTCGATGATTTGGTGTTGACTTATGTGCTGGGCCCAGCCAGGACTAAATTGATGTGTTCAATTAGAAGTCCTACATCATCACAAATCAGAAATCGGGAAACATAGATTTTGGACAAAGAGATTGATTACATTCCATGTCTTATGTCTAGGGATATCTAGCAGAACGAAGGATTATATGATCACTTATCTTAGGACACGTAACTGATTGGGTCAGAGTTCGGCAGCAGCTTTTGGAAGCTACAATTTGCTGGTCAAATTTAGAAGGCATACTAGCAATTATAGTTACAGACTTATCCAAGTGGGAGACTGTTGGATTAGGTGTCTAAGCCCATAACTATAATTGGTATGTACTTGAATTGATAGCAGCACAGTCCTTTTGGGTTGCCCTCAACCTAGCAACTGGACAAGGAAATTATGAAAGGAGAGATATTAATTTATAAGATTAATAAATTAATATATAAATGATTTATTAATATGTTAGTGGATTAATATATTAATTAGAAATCATTATGTTTAATTGATAGTTAGCCAGAAATTAATCAGAATTAATTTTGGGGTTAAAAGAATTAGTTATAAAGTGCAGGGACTAGTTTGCAATTAACTAATAGTTGAGTGGAAGGATCCAGAACCTCCTTGGAAGGAGGTGGACGAAATCCAAGGGGAAACCCTAGAGATTTCGTCCAAGGGGTTCTAGATAAGGCCCTTGGGCTTTGCTTAGGCCTTAAGCAAGGAGCATTAGGGTTTTCCCAAAGCCCTAGATCCCTCAGCTATTTAAGGAGCCTCCTGGCTCACATTTTCGGCCACACTGTTCTTTGGAAGAAACCCTAGGCCGAATTGCATACTCCCTCCTTCTCTCTCTTCTTCTATTTTCCTTCTTGCTAGTTCTTGGGTGTGATTCCATTAGAGGCATTACACTTGTGGTGCTAAGCTTCCAAGAAGATAAAGATCAAGATCAAGGGAATTATCAATTGTTTGCTATAACAATTGAAAGGTATGTAACTCCTAAACCCTAGTTTACTATTTTCGAAAATAGCCTCCTCCTCTAGGGTTCTTGTTTTGCAATTCAAAGTTGTATGTTCAATAGTTAAAACATAGATCCAAAGTAGGTTGCATGTGAACTTAGGAATTGTTTTCTGGTTTATTTGTTTTACCTAAAACCCATCAAAATCGGGATGTCACACAATATATGAGCTTTATACATCTAATAACTCAGAAATATGAAGAAGATGATGGATCTAAGCTGGTTCCTTGCTTCCTTGCACCAAAATGATTTTCTCCTTCCTCAAGCTTCGTCAAAATCTAAGAACAAGGTATTCATCAATAAAACAAGCTCTCAATCATCCATGGAAGTTAGGGTCTCATGTTGAAGGGGTGGAGGCTGAAGAGGATGCCCTAATCCTTGAGTTTAGATGCTTAAATATAAAGAAACCCTAAAAATCATGGGCTTGGGCTGTAGCAGTTGCCACGTTGTGGCATTTCTCTTGCCATGCCGTGGCGGCCATCAGATGCGCTTTCCATGCAATTGGCATGCCATGTCGTGGTGCTCCATTCACCACGTTGTGCCATAAGTTTTTTTCCCAAAAACCTCGCATTTGATCCCTCTAAGTCCTCAACTGGTCCATCATGGGAAATGGGTGTTACATTTCATCCGGAACACGTTAGCCTATCACGAAACCCAATCTATACACCACCTATTTCCAACTTCTACACCATCGAAAACAACAACCATTGCTACCATCACCCTCGAAAATTGATGCCTTCAAATGCCACCACCTAACCAGCAAACCTGCTACAGAATACCGACTATAATTTCTGAACCTTACCTTTACCAAAACCGCTTAGAATTGTCTCCAAATCAGCCCCTGAAAACCATCTCAAACACTGCCCGGAATGTGATCCCCTATCCGTCTCCGTCGTCGATGGGAAGATTTGGGTTCGATCTGGACTTGCTTCTTCGATCTGAATCTCCCATTTTTTTTATTTACAGGTTTAGGGTTCCTTTTTTGAGGTTTGGGTGATGACCGGTGGTGGTTGAAGGAGGTGATGACGGTGATAGGTAAAGGTGTCGAAGCTCAAAAATAGGATAAGAGAGAGAGAGAAAGAGAGTTCAAAGAATAAAAAAAAGAAAGGAAATCAAGGAAAGGGAAAGGGGTAGGTTGATGGAGATATTTTTTATTTTTAGTTTAAAAGTGATAAATGAATAAAAGAAAATTAAAAAAGAAATTATTAAAAGCAAAATAGTTTTTTTTATCTTTTTATTTATGTTCAAAAGGATGAAGTATATAAGTTTTAAACAAACATCCAAATTAATTTTTAAAAATATGGATTCACATAAGTTTTGAAATATACCCGAAACACAATTGGTATAATTTATGCTTTTTATTTTTATAAAAGAAGTAGAATACTGACAAAAACAAAAAAATATAAAGGCATGCAAAGAGGGATTATCCTAATCGAACGGTCCAAATAAGTTCCCTCTTAACTCCACAAAGCAAACATCAGACGTCAGATCATCATTCAGGGGTTTAGCTTTAGAGGGCCCTCTTCCTCACACACTCTTCCTGTACTACTACTCTGTTTCACACTCAACACTCACGCCTTTCTTCCCTCCCTCCACCGCCACCTTTCTCTCCACCACCGTCTTCCGGCCAAAAATCTTTGCCCCTCCGCCTCCCTCGACGGTATCGCATCGGTTCATCGTCTCCGATCACTTTCCAGGTCAGGTTCCGGCCGAACGACTCTCTTTCGTTGGTCATTCTTATCGTTTCTGACGCCACCCCTGCTGCTCATCTCTTACAAGGGGGCTTTTTCTTATGGTGACAATTAGAAAAAAAAGGATATTTTCCCCATTAATTTTATGTGTTCGGAATAAATTTCCAGCCAAAGTAATACATTGGGGGTTTTTAATCTCTTTGATATGCTTACGTTTATGCAATTTAATGAAAATTCTCACACGAAACAACTAAACTTTTGAAAAAGCTCCTCTCTTTAATATGATTATGTTTGTGCAAATTTGAAAAAATCTTTTCCTTTTTCATTTTTCCCTGCTGAAAGAATCTTGTGTTTTCATCCACAAAAAAAAAAATCGAGTTATTTAAAAGTTAAACTTCATTTTCTGTTTGAAATTTCTCTATTTCTTACCAATAATCTGAGATAAACTTACGCTGTCAGAGAGAGCATTAAATTGACAAGGGCTTTCGTGTTAATTTCTCTGTTTGTCAGATAAAATATTAAATGACAAGGCTTTGGTTTTAATTTGGCGTGTTCTTTAAAACTTTTATTACCTTTACTTGTTGCAGGTGATATAAGCATAATTATTTGAAGATCGATAATGCCTGGGGACAAAATGATTAATAATCGTATCCTTTTTCTTGTGCATTTATAGGTGTATGACACTTAATTCTATGTTGGTAGAAGTTTAGGTGGTCAAAATTGCTGAATTTATATTCTTTCGTAGAAATTATGTTCTTTCAAATGTTTGCTTGAATTTTGTAACTACTTAAAATTGTTAACTTTTCAAGTTCGTAATCATAATTTTAGCATAAAGGGCTGAATTCTCTGAAAATATGACACTTGATTATAGTTTTTTGTTCTTGGGTGCTTTAAATGTTTTTCTTTCTTGAATTATGAAATAGTTTGTAGTTGTCCCTTTTTTTGGCTTTCAAATATTTTCTTATCATATTCAGATAATGCAGTTTCTTCAGTCATTGGTAAGGGCGTTGCAGATCAAAGTGAATATTATCCTCCCACAATCTGTTATGATCATCATCATCCAGGTTTAGAAGTCACACAATTTTGACTTTTTGGGCTATTTTTCGATGACGAAAATGAGAAGGACATTCATGTCTTTTTCATAGACAAAAGGTAGAGGGCGAGTCCCTGTCCTACCTTTTTACGTGGAGCAAAAATTGCAGTTTTTGTTTCATTGACATCAGTCTTAGCCTTAGGACAACATGTATTGTCTTGTCATGTCATCTTTATTGTGGATTTTGATGATTTATTTGAGATTGGATTAGCTTATATTTTCTCTTTTACAGGAAATAATGAAACCTATAATCATTCGGATGGTTCTTGCCATCAAAATTCCAGTGGGGACTCATTCATGGGTAATAATGGTTCACTTCTCTACTTTATGCCTGGCTACAACCCATATGCAGGTCAGACTTTCTTGGGTGTTGATGGGCAAAATCGTCATTTCCCATCATCAGAAGGCATGCCCCGTTACTTGTGGAATTCTGCATACAGTGATGCAAGATACCACAATTCCACGTCTTGGGGCTCGAAATCTGCCATGGTTTCTAATGGTTTAATGAAGTCAAATGGTTTTAGTTCCCAAAGATTCCCAAATTACCCTCTTGATATACAGTCAACATCTAATATCTCTCAGTCGTTTCTCCAGACTCCACAACTCTGCTCAGTGAATAAGGTGTGTAATCCTTTTTTCAAAATCCACTTCTTGTGTCCCATAATAACAATGATTGACTTGACACATAGTTTAATAAGAGTACTTATATTACCTAAAATGACCCTTGATATTACAAAGAGAACCAAAATCAATGTAACAAATTTCTTTTAATGATTGCTAATGGGCAAAACATGTAAATGTGAGTTGGAATCGTACCAAAAAAGATAACATCACATTAAGGGCAAAATAAAGAAAAAACACTTGTGTACGTTTAGCCATTTAACTATTTTCTATAGCAATTAAACCATTATACTTTTTTACCATTAAAAAACCAATTTCTCTAGTTACCCAACTTTGAAAAGAGCAATATATACAAAAGCACAACGTATTTTCACCATTTCTCAATTTAGCCATGAAACTGTTGCTTTCTTTTTTATGATTATTATAATAATTGCAGTCTGGAGGTGTTGCAAAAGGGTATCAACAATGTTCAAATTTCTCATCTTTTCCCTATCAAAACCAAGGCCTTTTTGCAAACTATTCCATGATCCATGCTTCCAAAGTGAGAGATAAATCATACTCAAATGGAGAATCTGAAGAATTAACTTGTGGGCCTAGGGCTCAAAGCAGCATACTCGAGCATCAAGAATCTGGGAATTCCTTTAAAAGTGATCAGTATAATCTTGATGGGTTTCAGACTAAATATGAACAAGCTAAATTCTACATCATCAAGTCATACAGTGAAGACGATGTTCATAAGTGTGTCAAATATGATGTTTGGTCAAGTACGCCCAATGGCAACAAGAAGTTGGATATTGCTTTCCTTGAGGCCGAAGGAAAAAGAAGAGAAACAGGGTCAATGTGTCCGGTTTTCTTATTTTTTTCAGTAAGTGGATTTATATCTTCTTGAGTTATTCAGGACATGACAGTCTGTTACTGTGTCAATGAGACAAAAAATGCAACTTTTTTTGTCCCATCCAAAACGTGGGAGTGGGAATGAGACTGATGTGATGTCAATGGGACAAAAGTTTCAATTTTTTGTCTCATACAAAAAGGTGGGAGAGAGACTGATACCGATGTGATGTAAATCAGACAAAAATTTGAAACTTTTTGTCCTATTCAAAAAAGATAGGACAAGGATTGAGACTGATGTGATGTCAACAGGACAAAAAGTTACAGTTTTTGTCTTATCCAATAAAGTGAAAGAAGGTGGGACATGGACTCACATGGATATGTGCAAATGTTGTGAAATGATCTTTTCATTCTCATCATTAAAAAGTAAAAACCGATCTACAAAGTTTGTTCAGTTCAGTTATACGTCTTGTGATTATGCAGGTAAATGGGAGCGGACAGTTTGTGGGAGTTGCTGAAATGACAGGGCGAGTTGTTTTTGAAAAAGACATGGATTTTTGGCAACTTGATAAATGGAGTGGCTTTTTCCCATTAAAATGGCATATTATAAAAGACATCCCCAACACACAATTAAGACACATTATTCTTGAAAACAATGATAATCGGCCTGTTACTTACACTAGGGACACTCAGGAGGTATCTTTTCGCCATGTCCCTATTAAGTCCATTAAGTAAATAAGGAAAAATTTAAATATAGCTTACCATATTAAGTCATGTATCAGGTTGGATTACAACAAGGTTTAGAAATGCTTGATATTTTCAAAAGCTATCCATCAAAAACATCTTTGCTAGATGACTTGAGCTTCTATGAGAATCGTGAGAAGTCGCTTAAAGCCAGAAGGATTCACAAAGTTGCCTTCCAACTAGAGGTGCACATTCTTAGGTCTATTTCTGTTGATTAGGGTAAAAAGGGAATTCATGTCTTTTGCAAGGACGAGAGATGAAGAACAAGTTGTTCTCCATTTTTGGATCAGACAAAAAAAAAATGCAAATTTTGTCATGTTCACATCGGTCTCCATCTAAGTTCTAGTGTGATGCATGCCAGACAGAGTAAAATCTGCTATTTCATGTTACTAATGTTGACTTTATGTTTGCAGAAGAATTTAAAATTGGGAGAAGGATCAATGAGCACAAATGGGTCGTTGGATCCAACTTCATCTCTCATCAATCTACAAAATTTGTCTCTCAGTTGAAACATTCCAAGAGATAAGCATCCGGCTTAGGTATTGAGTCTTGGGTTTGTGTAGATGGTAGGATTTTAATGAGTTGGTTGTGTTTTTTGTTGTTTATTTTACTGTAATCTTATAATATTGCTTAGAGTAAAACTCGGGTTTTACTATCCTACCTTTTTCATGATCAAACCACTGTTGGCGAGTTTGTTTTTACACTTGTCCTATCTTGGTTATGCGAAAAAAATTCAGGAGTTTTAAGCATTCAAGTTTTAGTTATGTATGTGATTTTTTAATGGAAAAGTAAGTGTTTTTACGACAATTATTTTCATGTTTTTCAAAATGCATGATGATTTTACTTTTAAAAGATCCTCTAACTGACTTTATAAGACACTTTTAAAGACAGGGTCAAACAGTCGAGAAACATACATACTATTGTGCGCTTACGGATTATCCTTATTTGAAACAAGCATTGGAGAGAAATATCAATATGTAAAGTAAGCAAACACGATCCTTGACCAAATTCCCTATTTTAACACAATAGTGTATAAAATCATCATTTTAAGAGAAATTATTTATGCAATCAATATAAACCATGTATGAAATTAATGATGCCCAAACATGGCGTAAGATGACTCGACTCAAACTATAAAGCTAAATCTTCACGAGGACCCAAAGGAATTAAACATTCAATATTGAAAATGTCCCAAAGATGATTAAAAAAAAACTACGTGCATGTATGTCAATGATGCGTAGTAGCAGAGTAATTTGGTCTATCATGGATATAGTATATAAATTAGATATACAACGTACAATTAGCAAGAAAACTATTTAATATATATGTTACTAACATTCACATTAAGTACGCTTAAGTTATGATACAATTCACCTTTACATGTAGAGATAAAACTTAATCCACATCAGTTGGTTTATTATGCTTTTTCTCACATGAAATGAGGAAAAACCAAGTTCATATATTTACGAAAAACAAAACATTTTATTACACGTGCATATCCAAAAATCGCCTAATCTGCCATATTCAGAAATACGAGACTTCATCATCATCATCATCATCATCATCATCATCAGGAAAGATGAGAGTTAGCAGAGAATACTTGACCCGGAGTGAAATCTTTCCCTTATCCAGGACAAGTCGAGCCCCCGACACAACCCAATATCCCGGGCTTTCTTGCGGACCCCTTGTCATCTCCGTCGTGTCCACATACTCCGACAGTTCCGGCGCTTCAACCGGTGGCCCACCGGGGTATATAGCCGAGTTTATATTCACCTCCTCCGTGGTTTGAGATTCCAATCCCGGTGAACTGTCCCATTCTGGAATCTTGGTTGTAGTGCAACCGACAAGTTTCGAGAAGTGAGGCGTAAGAAGAGGACTTTTTTAAACCCAACGTGTAAGTGGGCCCCGGTTACGATTGATTGTTCGTCTTCGGATTCGACCGGGGCGGTGCAGACGTGGGAGAAGTGTTTCCATTGGACTTTTTCGTAGTATCGGCGGTCGTCGGAATCAGAATTGTAGATTCCGATTCCGGTTCCGGTTACGGAGTCTTCTAGTTGGAAGATTTCTGGGAGGGAGGAGAGGTGTTGCAGGTGGATTGCTAAACAGTTGCTTCTTTTACCTTCCAGATAAAGCCGGAGGCCAGTTACGGGTCTCTTTCCTACATCAACCTATTTACCAAATTCAACAAGTATATTATTATTATTATTATATGTATAATTAGCCATGATGTTTATGGTTTCAACGATTATAGAATTAATTAATTAACTACCGGATTTGTATTGACGTGGAGCTCCGGCCCAGAAAAGCTGAATGTATTTTGGTAGTCACGTTGTGGTTGTGGACCAAAGGCTAGGGACAGATGGCTGAATACAGGAGCCCATTGTTTAGGTAACTGGAATTCCAAAAACTGACGAAGCTCTTCAATTGGTGGTTTATCTGCAAACCAAACAACCCTAAACTTTATAACTTTAACGGTAAATTTGGTTTCTTAATGGATTTAAAAAAAAAAAAAAAAAAAAAAAAAAAGAAAACCGACCTCCAAATTAGCTTTTTAAGGAAGGCTAATTTGGGGGAGAGATGTGATGTTGCTCACAGCATAAATAGAGATTTATGGCATGACTCAAGTAACCACTTCCCAGAACACCATTTAGCAAAGAGGTTATGGGAATGAAGGACATTGTGATCACATCTGGTTCTGATTGTACTGTATGTAACCACTCATTATGTTTTAAGTTCCTATCATCACTTCCACCTCTCCTTTTGCAAATGCTTATAACATCCTGCCAATTACTAAAAATTTACTTATACCAGAGAACAAACTTTTCTGCAAACCTTAGACATTGTATTAAATAAACTACAAAATGGAGAAGAAAAAAAAAGCAAATTGCAGGAAATAACAATGTACTTACATCTCCTTACCAATAATAGCAATATACTTTATTTAATACCCATAAGAACAACGTACTTGCATTTTGCTACCATTATAGGCAATGTACTTTATTAATAATATTTCAATTTAAATCTTTGATTTTTTTTTGTTTTACTAATTAGTCTATTTTATCATATATGCAAAATAAAATGAATATTTGTATAGACAAAATATCATTTAAAAGCATTTGTGACACCAATACCAAATCTTACAAAACATAGCCATGTTATGGTATTTAAATTGTCTTTTGTTTTTATAAAAACATACTTGATCAAAACGACACCAATATCAAATACAACTGTGCTTAAAGACCAATAGATTAGAGAAAGGGGCTTTAAAGAACACTTTAAATAGATAAGGTAAGGATACATGTTTAATTGTTAGAAAAAGCTATTACATTGGAGAAGATTTGTGATAATAGATTTATGTTAGATAAAGTGAGTGAAATGTTGGTGTGGCAAAAAGAAAAACCCTTTGAAAAGGTTAACCCTGTGAATCCCCTAAGAATGTTGCTATGACATGTAAAGAAATGTAAGTACATTTCTCTTATTATAAATTACATTTTATATATTGCTATTATCAGTAAATAAGATGCAAGTACGTTTCCATAACAAAAATACCTTGTCATTTTGGGAAATATGTTCAAGATCAATGACTAACTGTTCATAGGAGTCCAAAAATCTCTTGTCTGCCATTGCCTTTAGCTTTTTCTGTACATCAGCAGGCTCAAGAGATGATGCATGCTGCTGTTTCATATATATCACATCTTTTCCACCCATTTTTACACCCACAATTATATGAGTGCCAAACTTTTCAATAAACCTGAATATACAGAAGGAAGATGGATAAATATTTTCTCGAAGGGGAATGCTGCAATTTTATATTACTTGTCTCGAGACTTTCACAATACAATCATGTGATGTGTGCATCTTTGTTTCACATCTTGCACAAGATGAAGTAAAAACCTACAATTCAGAAAACGGCTTGCAACTACTAAGGATTGATTGTATTACAAACACTATACTTTTTATTATTTTTTCCTTATTAAGACATTGCTCTTTGAGAAATATACCTAGTTATAGCATTGTATTTCCAATCATTTTCTTAGGGGGTGTTTATGATTTGTTATTTAAGGTGCTTATTAGCTTATTGCAATTTGGTACCGCTAATAAGCACTTTTGAGTGTTTGGATGAAATAATAGAAAAAATTCTTATTGACTTAAATAAGCAGATTTTGATAAGTTGTGTCCTTCTATCTTATTTGAAAGTGCTTACTAAAAGACAACGTATTAGCTTATTACGTTTTGCATACTAGAAGCTAATCCAAACACTTTCCTAAAACAAATATATATAAGTTGTTTTGAATAAGGAAACATCCCCTAATTAGGACGTTAATATTTAAAAATCTACCCAATTATAACAATGAAAATAGCTTTGTAATATGAAGAAATGAAAGAAGGAAGAAAACTCAAAATAGTCTCTAGATATAAAGGGTAGGAAAAGAGAAGGTCTAAAACTGACCTTGCTAACAAAGCGGGCTCCCATGATGATGGAACATCGTTCTTGACATGATCACAGAGTAGCATCCGAGTCTTTTCTAATGCAATGGTGTACAACGACATGAAAACACCATCAAGAGCAAGGGTTTTAGTACGTAATGCATCTTTCTGCCAATTTCCACGAAATCCAAACATGGTATCAAAGAGGCCTGAAGGAATTATCCCAGCTAATGATAGTTCGTGGTTGAATTGCTCCGACATCTGCAGAAACTTCCATATGTTAATAAAAAAAAAAATACAACTATCCAAAAACAAAAAACACTGAATTTGCAAGAATCACTCATACCTGCTGAAAAGGAAGAGCACGGGATTGAAATCGAGTACGCTCGCCTTTATCACATTTGATGGATTTGGGAACATTAAGGACTAGAATCCCACCAGGAAGCATGATGTCTCTACCTTCATCCTCGTCAATTTCGATCAATCGACACATTCGATATGGATTAGTACCAATATAAGCACCTTTTACATACTTAAGCCTCAGATCTAATGAGATATCATAACCACATCCAATCGACTGAAACGCAACATACGCAGCTTCATCAGCTGGAAGCTTAAGCGCCATTTTTAACTGGAATTCCTCCAAACGGAAATTTTATTTTTTCCGTTTAACTAGCGTTGTCAACCCACCTCAACCCCAGTTAGCCCCATTTAAAACTCCATAGAAATGGAAGTGCGAGCGGCGATCGACTCTTCTGTAAGGCTGGACGGAGTGGGTGCGGGAAAGGGGTGAGGAAGCTTCCCTCACTCTGCATACCACTCCGTGAGCGAGGGAAAAAAGCTGCGGGAAAGAGATGGGGAGGGGTTGCAGCACTCTCTCCCATCATGCTATTGGTCAGGTTTTTTTTTTTTATTATTATTTTTTATTATTTTATCTTTTTTAATATTTATAAAATTATATACCTACTAAAAAAATATAAAAGATATATCAAAACTAATGGTTTTTAATTCCCTACAAAATGAGTATAATATATATATGAAATATATTAAAAAAAAAGTGAGGGAAAGACTTCCCATCCATTCCTTGGCTTTTAAGTGAAGGAAATAAAGGTATGACCCACAAAAAATGAGGGAAGCTCCCCTCCCACACCCTCCGGTCTAAGAACCTCCCAAACATTGTTCTGCTATTTCATGGAAGATACATCCGTTTCAGCTGCGAGATGTCATTAAGAACCCTACATGGTAGAGCTAGATTTGAGAGTAATTTTGTGTGTGTGTGTGTGTGGGGGGGGGGGGCAAACATTGTTCTGCTATTTCATGGAAGATACATCCGTTTCAGCTGCGAGATGTCATTAAGAACCCTACATGGTAGAGCTGGATTTGAGAGTAATTTTGTGTGTGTGTGGGGGGGGGGGGGGGGGGGGGGGGGCTAGAAGAAAGCGGTAGATTTCATCAAGCAGGATGAAAAAAAAAAACTTATTATTTTTTAAAAACATCAATTTCCTGGATTTTTGGAAAAAAAAATTGACTAAATATTTTTTTAATTTATTGGTTTTTAAAAAACCAATAAGTTAATAAATCATTTTAAAAAGTAATTCCAAACATCCACTAAGTTTCATTTTGTATAAAAAAATTCCTATTTGTTCAAAAAATATTCAAATTTGTATAAAAAATTTCATTGAATTTTACCCGTTTCAAAAAATACCAATAAACTAAAGAAATCTTTCGAAAAATGTCATATAACTTCTCATTTGTTCTTATTTTTTCCATGTGGTAACCGGGTATTTCGGTTAGAAGGTGAAACTCACATGCCATCAAAAAAATAGAAGCAAAAACCATCTACTTTTATTCTCTTCTTCTTTATTTTTCTTTGGTTCAAAGGTAGCTTAAGGTGGCGATGATTGGTGTTACAAGGTAGCGGTGGTTGATGGTTTTTCGAAAAAAAAAGTGTACGGTGGTGTCGGCTTGATAGTTAAAGGTGATGAAAATAAAGGTGAGATTAACCAGTAAACCTCCAACCCACATTGTAACGACCTGTTCCGAATCGATTTCTAATTCGAGGCTGTGACCCGAAGATCGATTATCATAAGGCTTAGGGCCTTGAGGAAGAAGGGAATTAGCCATTTTTGGATGTGGGTGTTATAGATTAAGTAATCTGAGTGTTCGTTTGTGCTTCGGAGCCCAACGGTATAATCATAATTTGGCACTCCGAGCCTTTATGAATTTTGGAGTTTTGTTCGGGAAGTTTTAAGGCAACGGTGGGTTGATAAAAGTGTAGGGCTTCTCGTCACCTTTCTGAGGATATAAAGTTTGTTGGAAATGGACTTAGGACGAATGAGTTATGGCCAATAGAAGTTTATGTGTTTTGGAGCTTGGTCGAGTACGTGGGGTGTACTCACCAAGTACGCGGGCCGTAGTGGCTGGGTGGATCGCAGAAGTCTCTCGAGTACGTCGGGCATACTCCCTTCAGATGGAAACCCTGGTTTTTAGGGTCTTGACCCTATTTAAGCCTTATTTATTCTTGAACCTTGTCCCTTATTAGCCTCCAAGCCTCCTAAACCCTAATATTTGACCCTCAACCACCATCTTGGAGTTCTTAAGCTTTTGTGAGGAATCTTGGAGTGTTTTGTGCATTTTGAAGAGATTGAAGGTTGTTGAGGGATCATCACTTGGAGTGGGGCTTGTAGATCCAAAAATTTCTCATCTTTTGCAATCCATTGAAGGTAAAAAGCTCTCATCTTGGCATCTTTTTGGTTAGATCTTGTTTGGGGTGGTTTATGGCACATTTTGGTCCCTTTGGTTTGTCTTTATGAGGCTGAGCTTGCCCAATAGTTTGGACACTAGATCTGGATATTTTACGTGTCCCAAATGCATAAAAATGTGATTTTGATAGTTGATATCAACTCATGCATGTGTTTTAGCCTCTTTGATGAAGTTATAAAGTAAGAACTTGGATTTGGGATCCTTTGAGCCATGCAAAAGCTCAAAGTTAACAACTTTATGGATTAAGGCATGATTTGGATCTAGATCTGAGCAATTGACGTTTTGGCTTAAGGGGTTAAGACCTTTTCTAAGTGGAATGTGGGCAGGGTCAGTACGCGGGGCGTACCTCCTAGTACGCGGCGCGTACCGAGTCAATTGGGCGTACGTTGGGCGTACCAGCTGAGTACGCGGGGTGTGCTCATTATGATGAGTTTTTCCTGATTCTTTGACTTTTTGACCATGGAGCATTGACTAGAAGTTGACCAGGGTTGACCATTGAATATTATGGGCCTTTTAGGATATGGGGCCCTCTCGGTTAGCCAATGATGGGTTTTGGGCCCAATTTGGATATTTGGGCCTTATTGGGCCTTGTGATGTCATGTAAGGGATTTGGGCTTATGATGCTATTGGATTGGTCTTTGGAGTTTGGCCAAGTAAGGAAAAGGGGTAAAATGGACTTTTACCCTGAAGGCTTAGTCATTGGACTAGAATTCGTGTTTGGTTTTTTAAAAACAGGATGAAAAACTTATTATTTTTTAAAAACATCAATTTCCTGGTTTATTGGAAAAAAAAATTTACTAAATATTTTTTTAATTTATTGGTTTTTTAAAAAACCAATAAGTTAATAAATCATTTTAAAAAGTAATTCCAAACATCCACTAAGTTTCAATTTGTATAAAAAATTCCTATTTGTTCAAAAAATATTCAAATCTGTATAAAAATTTTCATTGAAGTTTACCCGTTTCAAAAAATACCAATAAACTAAAGAAATCGTTCGAAAAATGTCATATAACTTCTCATTTGTTCTTATTTTTTCCATGTGGTAACCGGGTATTTCGGTTAGAAGGTGAAACTCACCTGCCATCAAAAAAATAGAAGCAAAAACCATCTACTTTTATTCTCTTCTTCTTTATTTTTCTTTGGTTCAAAGGTAGCTTAAGGTGGCGATGATTGGTGTTACAAGGTAGCGGTGGTTGATGGTTTTTCGGAAAAAAATGAGTACGTTGGTGTCGGCTTGATAGTTAAAGGTGATGAAAATAAAGGTGAGATTAACCAGTAAACCTCCAACCCACATTGTAACGCCCTGTTCCGAATCGATTTCTAATCCGAGGCTGTGACCCGAAGATCGATTATCATAAGGCTTAGGGCCTTGAGGAAGAAGGGAATTAGCCCTTTTTGGATGTGGGTGTTATAGATTAAGTAATCCGAGTGTTCGTTTGTGCTTCGGAGCCCAACGGTATAATCATAATTTGGCACTCTGGGCCTTTATGAATTTTGGAGTTTTCTTCGGGAAGTTTTAAGGCAAGGGTGGGTTGATAAAAGTTTAGGGCTTCTCGTCACCTTTCTGAGGATATAAAGTTCGTTGGAAACGGACTTAGGACGAAAGAGTTATGGCCAATAGAAGTTTATGTGTTTTGGAGCTTGGTCGAGTACGTGGGGTGTACTCACCAAGTACGCGGGCCGTAGTGGCTGGGTGGATCGCAGAAGTCTCTCGAGTACGTCGGGCATACTCCCTTCAGATGGAAACCCTAGTTTTTAGGGTCTTGACCCTATTTAAGCCTTATTTATTCTTGAGCCTTGTCCCTTATTAGCCTCCAAGCCTCCTAAACCCTAATATTTGACCCTCAAGCATCATCTTGGAGTTCTTAAGCTTTTGTGAGGAATCTTGGAGTGTTTTGTGCATTTTGAAGAGATTGAAGGTTGTTAAGGGGATCATCACTTGGAATGGGGCTTGTAGATCCAAAAATTTCTCATCTTTTGCAATCCATTGAAGGTAAAAAGCTCTCATCTTGGCATCTCTTTGGTTAGATCTTGTTTGGGGTGGTTTATGGCACATTTTGGTCCCTTTGGTTTGTCTTTATGAGGCTGAGCTTGCCCAATAGTTTGGACACTAGATCTGGATATTTTACGTGTCTCAAATGCATAAAAATGTGATTTTGATAGTTGATATCAACTCATGCATGTGTTTTAGCCTCTTTGATGAAGTTATAAAGTAAGAACTTGGATTTGGGATCCTTTGAGCCATGCAAAAGCTCAAAGTTAACAACTTTATGGATTAAGGCATGATTTGGATCTAGATCTGAGCAATTGACGTTTTGGCTTAAGGGGTTAAGACATTTTCTAAGTGGAATGTGGGCAGGGTGAGTATGCGGGGCGTACCTCCTAGTACGCGGCGCGTACCGAGTCAATTGGGCGTACGTTTGGCGTACCAACTGAGTACGCGGGGTGTGCTCGTTATGATGAGTTTTTCCTGATTCTTTGACTTTTTGACCATGGAGCATTGACTAGAAGTTGACCAGGGTTGACCATTGAATATTATGGGCCTTTTAGGATATTGGGCCCTCTCGGTTAGCCAATGATGGATTTGTTGGATTAGGTGTCTAAGCTCATAACTATAATTGGTATGTACTTGAATTGATAGCAGCACAGTCCTTTTGGGTTGCCCTCAACCTAGCAACTGGACAAGGAAATTATGAAAGGAGAGATATTAATTTATAAGATTAATAAATTAATATATATATAAATGATTTATTAATATGTTAATGGATTAATATATTAATTAGAAATCATTATGTTTAATTAATTGTTAGCCAGAAATTAATCAGAATTGATTTTGGGGTTAAAAGAATTAATTATAAGGTGCAGGGACTAGTTTGCAATTATCTAATAGTTGAGTGGAAGGCTCTAGAACCCCCTTGGAAGAGGGTGGACGAAATCTTTAGGGGAAACCCTAATAATTTCGTCCATAGGGGCTTGGATAAGGCCCTTGGGTTTGCTTAGGCCCTAAGCAAAGGATAACTAGGGTTTCCCTTAAACCCTAGATCCCTCAGCTATATAAGGAGCCTCCTGGTTCATGTTTTGGACTCTTT